TACGATTATCAAAGCATAAATCCAGTAAATCGCTTCCATCAACACCTCCAAAGCTTGCACAGACATATACCACTTCCTGGATCAACATTTTACTCTGTAACATTATGCAGTTTTCATTTATATGCTGTCTATTGCTGATGATTGCATTGTTTTTCATATGCATCTGTTTACATAAAAGATCGCTAGTTTCTCCGTCCTGTTCACGTGTGTTTTTGTTCAGGAGGTTTTGTGCTCGTTCAGAAGATGCGTAATAGTGCCCCCGAGTGTATAACAGTGAAAACACGGAAAGCCGTAAAAACTCGTCTTTAGCGGGGAAGCGTTTTCTTGTAAAAGACGAGATAACTCGTCAATGGCGGGGAAAGAGTTAACATCAATTTCTGCACCTAACCTCAACTAACCATGGCAGATGTGCCTACGTTTTTGTGTTGCTTACTGGAAATGTCCCTCCTAATGAGGTACTTATTGGATAATTTAGTAATAAGCCCTGGCTAAAAAGTCCAGAGGAGAAAAAAAAAAGGTTTCCATTTGGTTTGAGTTCTACAGCCAGAAACATAATTAATGCAACTATGCAAATGAATATGTGTGAACAATGCATTGCAAACATGCGGTCTTGTTGGTTGTTCATGCAATTCTGTTGCATTAGCAAACCTTGGTACTCAAGTTGGTGATAAAGTTACCTTCAAATTTGTCTGCCAAATGCACATACTACTGTGACCAAATGTGTTGGCTTGTTTTTAAACACCTCCGAAGAAAGAGTTTCTGGAACAACTACTGCAGGCATGTGTTTCAGATTAAGTTTGTTATGGCTAGAAAGACTTTTCGTAATGTTTGATACTTTTGCAGCAGTGCTGCCAGTGTGTCACATTGTATTACGCAATTGCATTCTGACACATTTCGGGATACAACCGCACATGAAATGGGGCTTGCATAGCTAAAAGTGTTTCCACTCCCCTGCCTCTCATGTAGACTGATGCTGATTCAAACCCCTCACGGAGCGGTGTGAATTCAGACCAGTTAAATTGGTGCCCGGTGACCCGGATGGGAGTTTGGTTAAGGGGGAGAGCTTGAGGCCAGGTGGTAAGATCTGTGCAGTTAAACCTCATTCCCCTTGTCTCAAGAGGTGCACGATCTGCAAATTAAGGAAGGAGAAAGCATTTTAACATTTTAAAAATTACACTTTTCAACTTTAAAAATGGATGAAAGATATCAGGTATGTAATTGGTGTAAAGTTTCCCCCAGGACAGGACTGGCATGATGAGGGGGTTATGTGTGGTCGTACCCTCTGACACACAGACAGGCGGCAGTGTGCCCTCCTGCCACACTGATAGATGAAGTGTCAGTCTGGAACAGGATGGAATGGAGGAGGATATTTGATATTCTGACCCCCTTCTAGGCTAGTGTGTGGTCACACACACACAGAAACATCCGATTCACCAGTGTGACCTTCATTTGCCTACGGCTACCTCATCTGTCATCTTGACTCGAACCCTGGACTGCAGCCCCACTCAGTCAAACCCCATCGATCCACACTATTGAGCTCCTGCACAGGTGTGCGCATTGTGAGTTCATCGGTGTGTGTGTATTTGTGTTTGAGTGAGTGGAGAGCGAGTGTGAACAGCTGGAAAGCATCCTTTAACAAGAATAATGACCGGCGGAGGGCGGCATCACCGTTTGAACAGGCGCTTTAACGCGTGATCAATTCTGTGCATCCTGCTGACGTCTCACAAACTGCCACCGAACTGCGCTCAACAGTTTCCTAAGAAGTCATTTCTCTTTTGTCAGGTAACTGCTAGAAAATAAAGATTTTATTAGTGTTGTTTGCTAAGGCAAGAATTAGTATTGCTATTTCTCGTACACCGAACTCTATTTTGTACATATA